ATTTAGGTTAGATATCAGGAAGAATTTTTGTTCTGTAAGAGTGGTCAGACACTGAAACAGGTTGCCAGGGAACTTGTGGATACCCCAACCCTGGCACTGTTCAAGGGCAACTTGGATAAAGCCTTGAGCGATCTGGTCTAGAGGGAGGTATCAGGGGATGCTGGAACCAGATACATTAAGATCTATCCCAACCCCTTAACATTCTACAAAAAACTGTAAAAATCAATCCTCACTACTAAAGAGAAAAGAATTTTATTTTTAGTTGGATGTATTCATAAAAGTTTTCAGATCTTCAGTGAGAGACAATTAAATTGGAAAAAAAATTCATATTGGTGATGTTCAACACTTTATAAATTAACATTATTTAAGACCATGATACTGTGGGAGCCATAAATCAGTTAATTTTGAGAAAATATTACTCATAATTTGCTGAAAATTAAGCAACTATATGAACATTCAAGGTAAATTCTGCATGTAAATAAAATTATACATTTAATCTCTTCTCTTTTTTTTCTCCTCTTTCAAGGCTTTGCTTCTACTTCATTTCATAAATAGCTTTCATTCCATAGACACCAAAAAAGATCCAATCAACTATATGAGCGTAAACCTTTGCCTACTAGACTGTCATCAGCACAAAGTCCCCCAAATAATAAATGAACTTTTTATTAACTGTGGTAACATTAACATTACAATGAGGGATTGTTTAAAAACAAGTTGTACTGCTGTTGCTCAAGAGCTCAAGGAAAATGGTTCTCAGTTCCTTTATTTTTCCTTGAGGGTAACCACAGGGGTTGCATTAAATCTTTTAAAATATGTTGACAGTTGAATAAGTGCTGCTGTTACTCTGGTGACATTTTATGCACTTTAATTGTCATTAATGAATCTGACTGATACTTTCTTAAAAGTCCTTTACGTGTTCTAGTAATTTTATAACAAAGAGAAGAACAAAACTGTCTGCAAATTAGCCTTGATCCACTTCTCATATGGAATTTTCACTGCACACAATAGGAGCATCTGCATGGGAAATATCTGCTAGACCAGACAATTGAGGTAGGAATGCATTGAATGTTCCCAGTAAATTGTGAAATTATCACTTCGTTGTGTATCACCATATAAATTTAAATCCCAAAGAAGGTTTGTTTGAATGTATTTTTGAAAATAAGTACTCTATCTGCTTCAATAAATACAGAATTTGATGTTAAAATGCTCAGCATTTTAGGGCTGCAACAAAACTCAAAGTAAATGTGAGTTGGAATGAAACAAACACTGACACTAATCTGGAGTCCAGTACCTCCTTCCTTATTCTGATAATACTCCCACTGATTTCAGAAGGGCTTTTGCCCTGTGAAGACTGAAGGACACAGCTCCCAATTATCAGCTCAGGAACATGCAGTAACAAGGAGGAATGCATGGAGCTTGAGAAACTGCAGGCACCACACTTGATAGTTCATAAACAGATAAGGTAAGTCTTTTGCTTGGAGAGAAAATAAACTATGGTGCTTTAAATTGTGATAGGTGATTTAAGTAGATTAAAGAATATCTATTCCAGGGACATGGAGCTCAAAGAGGGAGGAAGAGGGGGGAATAGTGTATTAACAGTGTAGGTAGACATGTGGAGTCCTTTGTTTCCCCCATCCCAGGTTCCCTCAGTCCTGCATGCTCAATGGGAACACAGCAGATGACTGCCAACACTGCTGCACCTGCTGCACCACAGGCTTCACATCTTTGCAGTTTCAGAGTCAGACAAACCTGGGGCCATTGACACTTGTACAGTTCTGCACTTCAGCTGCAGTGGCTCCTCAAGTGCAGAACTGTACAAGTGTCAGTGGTCTGAGCCATCACCACTGAACAGGACAATTAGGCCATGCAAAATCGCTCCAGGCACACGGAGAGCCCCTTTGCCTGATTCTCCACAGTCCCCTGTACAACCATGCTCACCTGGGGCAAAGCAGCAGTTCAGCCCCAGCCTGACCTTTCCTTCCAGCTGAGCAAACAGCTGCACAAGGTGCAAAGCAATCAGAATCAGGCTCAGGGTTCTGTATGGCAGCGTTCAGGACACGCAGGGTGCAGACAGCACTAAGTTCCACACTCATGTCATACACACAGCTAACAACCTCAGCTAAGTCATGAACTACATTTTAATTAGACAAGGGGCCAGGCTTTTGATTTCAAAAATAGAAGTTAGGGTTGCAGTCCTTCATCCATTGAAGTTAATTGCAAAATCCCCATTATCAGACTCTTGAGGTATTACCCAGGCGCACTTTTTAATTACATTTGATTCTTAATGAAGTAGATGGCAAAGAGAAAAGCAGCCCATGATTCAAATGATTCACATTTTTATCTTTCCTGATGAAAAACAGAATAGGTCAAGATACTTGCTGGATTTTCCCATGAGAAATGCTGCAATGTGAATAAGCTCAATTTACTTGATGCTGAAGAAGCAGGTTAGCTTTGAAAAGCATCACTCATTTTCTCCTCCTCTATATACTCTACCCCCAAAACTTATGCAATGTAATTGTAGACACCAAGCCAAATCCAATTCAGAGCTTGAAAAATATCACATAAGTATCCTAAGCTTGAATGACTTGTCTTTATTGTCTAATGTCACTTACAACATAAGGAGTCCTAATTATGGTTTTATTTTCAAACTATGCACTTTAAAAGAGTGACAATTCTCCACAAAAAGCGACAGCTTCTCAGGGCAAGGAGACTGCCAAATAACTTGGTATTGCTAAATGATTTAAAAACAATAAGTTATGAAGAAGCTTATGAAGAAAGAGAGTGTTATCACACTTAGCTAGACAAGAATACTGTTACACCTTTTTCTATTAGATCTCTACTTATGTAAGTAAACAAAGATTTACAGAGCATAATTTCATGCTACAGGTGGGGCCATTCCCTTGGTATACACAACAACCTGCAAACTCTTTTCACATAATGAAAGTTGTTTCTTACCATCTGGAAATCAGGTTTAAAAATAAAACTTCTTTTTATATATTATACAAAAAGCTTAGCTTTTTATTTCAGACATACTTCTCATATTATAAAACACATAATTATTTTTTTTTTTACTTTTATGACTTCAAAAGACCAAATAAAAATTTAGGACCTAAAAATGTAATTTCTTTTTTAAAGGTTGGCTTTTAAGTATTAGGGAGAGTAGAAAGTCAGTTTTAAGAAAATCAGATAGTATTGCAAGGCTCTCTAACTGAGGCAGCCAAGCAGGGTTACAGCAGGAACTGAACTGAGGCAAGGCTGTGTCCCCAGGGCTGGCACAGGGGACAGAACTCTTGGGGCTCAAGAACCTGACCAGACAAAGGGGTCACTGCAGCTTAAAGCTGTCATTGCTCCTTCTAAAGGAAGAAGGGACAACCTTCTTTCAGGGACACAGAAAATAAGGTTTTAATTCAGTATTTTTTTTTTTTTTAAATTCCAAGGTTTGGTGTCTTTTGCCCTGTGGCTGCTTCACTGTTTCAGCCTTGCAGGATACCTGTGATAAAACAAAATCTCTTGAGTTTGTTAAAACCATTTGCCTCTCATTACAATTCTTTCCCATTCACAAGGTTGAATACCACAAAACCTGAACACTTCCTACTTCATGGTCATACCAGAGATCAGGGGAAGCTTAGATTACTTTCAAGGCCACCAAGTAGATGATGTGGAAATCTAAATCAGCCTGTTGTGCATTACTGTGGGAAACCTGCAATGTAACAAACAACCACAGCCAAACTTGCTTCTGTGTTGAGTTGTGCCAAAACAGTACCATCTCCACCAAGGTCAGTGCAGGCTTTAAGCAAGGAAAAAAATTCTTATCCCTACTTCTTCATTTGAATTCCCTCTTGGAACTCAATTCCAGTTATTGTTTTTACTGAGCCATGCTATCTTACACCTATTAAGTACTGCATTCATCAGTTTAGGGCCCTTATTCTATAATATAATTATTCAAACTCTGGTTGGTATTTGCGGAAGGTCTAACTTAGCAGTCTCCTTCTGGATGTCTCTCAGTCTCATGCTTACATAGATATTGATCATTATAGCAACTAAAAGTTTGAGATACTTGCTAGCTCTGATAATTTTTAAAGCAATTCTTAAAGACTGTTCAGAGCACACAGAATATTTCCAAGGCAGTGGCAGGGCATCCCTGCACTAATGAACCACAGAAGCCATCCTAATGCAAACAGCACTGGTCCAGGGAATAGCAAACCCTCATGCCTCAAAGACAATCACAGAAAAGGCAGAGGGCTGAAGAAAGTCAATGCCCATATAATTGGTGATGGAAAGTTTCAGCTCAGATTTAACAGACACTGTAAACTGAAGAACACACACATTCTGAAGTGGTGGCTAAAATCAGCATTTAGGACTAGAAGAATAAGTCACTTTACTATTAAAAGTAATGCTGGGGTAATTGCAGCAATAAGGTACTTCTCAGTACTTTAGTAGTAAAAGAAACTCTTTTGAAAATGTTAATTTTCATTGCTGGTTTACAGTAGGCAGGCATCAGTGATTGCTGCATGGTATATGCATCCTACACAAAGCACAAAGTGCACAAGGAATGATATTTTATCAAATAACTCTGTGCCTGGCTAACTATTTTAGTAAAACTTCAGGCAGCCTCATTTTCTGAATATAAAGTGTTTCAGCTGGACACCAATGAAAGCAACTCAAACCATTAATACTCTCCACCACATGTCATGTGCTATATTTTTTCCAAGCAAAACAAAGGATAAGAAATAAACCTTTAGTTTTCAGTAAGTTAATAATTCAAAATAAAGAGAAAATCCTATTAATTATTAACTATATATTCATTATGCACCCATATCATATGATGGGTAGACTCTGGTAAAATAATCAAATTTAGGCTGACAGGTGCCTCAGCAACACAAAAATATAATTATGGGCACAGATCAAAAAGCCAGTTTCTACTCAGTTATTGAATTTAAGGGGAAGAAGAAAATGTTCAATCATAATATTTGTTTAAGAATGTTTATCTTATTTCTTACCATTGAATGATAGGAACACCCTTGCTTGAGGCTGGGAAGATCCTTTTACACTGCTGAAGTAAATAAATATCCCAATCAACAGGTTCACTGCAAGAAATGCCATCTCCTCAGATTTGCAACTTAATATCCAAGAAACGAGACCTGAAAGAGAGAGATATCACATTATTCTTATACAAACTTGTGGAGCAAAAACAACAGCACAGAAAGATTGTGTTGGAAGCCTCTTCCAGCTGAAGCCATAATTACTGATGAGAAGGAGGTAGAGCACCTCTGTTTTTCCTTTGTGCCTCTGCAAGTGGTTTTCTCCAGCAGTCTTCTGTGCTGGCACAAGAGGAACTCTGCCTGTTAGCAGGAACCAAGAGAGCCCAACTTTTGGGTAGGGCAGACTACAGCATTAGACTCAGTTTATTTAAAATGAAGACAATTCCACCTGCTGGAAATGTAATTATACTAAATGTCAAGGCAGAGCAAAGCAAGGACAGGAGATAAAGTTTCACGAATAAAAATCTGGCTGATATTTTTAGACACCTCTCTCTCATGTTAAGCGGGGGGGAGGTTTGGGTTATTGGACATTTGGTTTTTTTTTTCTTTTCTTTAAACATCTGAAACCAAAGGTGCTTGGAAATAAGCTTTAAGTTTTAGTAAGCCGAGTTCTCTAATCACCCTCAAGATTTTCTTTAAAAAAATTCTGGCTATGTATGTCATTAATTTCAAAACCATGAAACCAAAAGTATTTCAACACAGTTGAAACTGTTAGTCAATGTTTGCTTTTTGGGATAGCTCCTTTCAGGATATGCACCTGCTCTCATTGACTTCTACAGGACACTAAGAATCCCAGAGTTGGACAATGATACTACACTTGATACATCAGGTACTTCTCCTGCACATCTGCTGAACCCTCATTTACAGGAGTTAGCTGCTGAGAAGCCTGAGCATCTCAGAGAATCACAAAAATCTCCAGAACTCTGCATCTCTTAGTTCAGGAAGGACTTGAGGCCACTGGAATCACTGGAGGAAAGTAGCTTTTCTAACAGACTTTGGACCAGATCCAGAAAACCCAGCCACCTTTAGAAGCTGAAAACTGTGTATCTGTATCACATCTGCTACTAAACTGCATCTCTCCAAAAATTGTGAAGTGCAAATTTCACTTCACCTATTGCAACAATTTAGCTGCAAAAGTGAGCTAACACTGTTTTTTTAGGCTCATTCTTCCACACTGCTTATATATAGATATATTTCTTTTTTATATAAACAGCCCTTCTACTAGACACCACTTATTAGTTAATCAGGTGTTATACTTGATTTTATGGCAACTGGAAGCACTTTGAAAGCCACAAGCCCTACAGCTAGATCATTAAAGGCTGTACATTTATTTGACAAAGAGACTTGTTACCTGTGCAGTCAGCTCACCGTTCTTCACCTCAGCTCTGCTCCAGCACTACAGTCCCTCCAGTGGAAGCCAATATTTCTACAGGCTTGTTCACCCTGTCCCTCTGAGGTTCACACCTGTCCTTAAAGAAGCGGCTGCAACGCCCCAGCACGGCAGGAATGAGCTGCCAGGCGGGGATGGCTTTAGGTCAGCACTCCTTTGGGCTGGATCCACATCACTGCCTTAGCGCTGAGAGACGCCCCGTCTCTCATCACCCCCTCTGCCCTTCCCTACCCACTCACTGCAAATCGCTTGGAAAGGATTCTCTTCGCAGGGGGACTTCACATCAAGCTGGGGGTGGGAAGGAGAGCACGCATGAAAGTGCAGAGCTCTGCAGCCCACACTCTATCAACTCTCCCTCACTGTTTGCTCTGAGTACTGAGAAATGCACGAAGATCAAATAATTCTACAACTCTGCTAATTGACAAAAACAACCTTGTCAGAAACTTGCCAGCTACACATTGGGTCTGTAGGAAAAATATATCCATTCTGGCCCGGTTCCAAATTATCTCTAAGGGTCTGTTAACTAATAAAATGATAGTTGCAGAGTTTTTGCCAAGAATAATTTTTAAATAGGCTACACAAACTCTAGCACTAATGTTGCTTTGTGAGCTTTAAAAAATTGTGACTTGCCCATGGGATATCCTTTAACTTACTCCTCTTCTAAGAGAGGCATTAAATCCCTATAAAATTCCTTGTCAGGCCAGAGGAAATAGCCAGTCATACAAAACATGTGATTTAACAGATGCAATGGGATTAGTATTTTACAGTAGTAACACTATGCTTTCTTTGCAATATAGATAAAGAGTCAAAGAGGAACAAGTGTGCAGCTTTCCTTCTTCCTTTAAATAATACTGTAGGAAACAATAATAGAAAAAAAACCAACCCTTTCAGCTCCCTTTCCCTCCCACTCTCGTGCCTCCTGCCAATTGTGGTGTAATCAGTTAGAGGAGTGAAACATTGCTACATTTCATTGCTCAAATTGCAGATCTTCACCGTTAACACAGAAGTGACAGGCAAATATAAGATTCAAGTGCTGAGCAGCATGGTTCCTACGCAGCTTTTAGACACATAAATAATAAATGCATACAGCTCCAAAAAGGTACCTCAGGGTGTCTGACATGTGAGTTACCTAATGGAAATAGGTTTAATTTCAGAGATTTACAGAGCTGGTAACTGACAGCTCATTGCAGGTTTCACTCTATAAGCTTTGGGCTTATATCCCAGCTCTGAATTTATCTCAGTAAGTCATGCTACTATATTCAGCACATCCAGTGCACATGATCTCTGCTGACAACACACAGACCTTGCAAGTACTTTAAAAGAATCCTACAGGACAGACAAAAAGCAGTGTCTAATTGCATTTCTGTTCTTACACTCTAGTCTAACTGTAAACAAACAGACGAACCGCTACCAAAGTGAAGTAGTGAAGTTTCCCTGCCACGGAGGTCGCTGGCAGCATGTTGCACGGCTTCTGCAAAGTACAGTATCGCTTTGCTAGGAAGTGCTGCGCAGGTGTCATCCGCTATAGACTGGGTCCTACCCTTAAATCCTCCAGGAAAAAACACTTGGCAAAAGGAAGAAAAGAAACGGAGAAGAAAAAAACAAAAACAAACCCTGCCAAACATGGACTGTGCCAATCTGGAAAACATTGGTTTAACTATCTGTGAACAGCAGCAAAATTCAACCATCAGAACCATTTCACATGTACTACAGAAAAGAAAGAGAACTTTAAGTTATGCTTACCCGGCTATTGGAGGCACCAGTAATACTGATTCCTATCTGGTTTCTATCACTTTTACAGACTCCACTCCTGCTACCAGAACATTTTAATTCCAAACCTGCCTCACGGCAGAGGGAAAAATAAATTTCAAAAAAAAGGGGAAAAAAAAGGGAAAAGAAAAAAAAAGAGAAAAGACTCTCCTCGTGGTGGCTGCAAAGATACTCCCGGCTCTTCTGTACAATAATCCCGGCAGTGGCTCCCGCGGCTCAGCGAGCGCTTCTCCCCTGCGCGCATTCACGCCCCGAGCAGTGAATGGAGCGGCGGCGCGGTGCCGGCGCTGCTTTCCAGTTACAGGCGCTGCCCTGCCCTGGCCGCCGCTCCAGCGAGGCGAGGCTCGGCGGCGGCCGGTGCATCATTAGCTGAGCAAATAGGGGCTGGAGCTCATAAATAATGGCGAGGCCACACCCCGCCCTGNCGGGAGCGGGGCGGAAGGGATGAGGGATGCGGGAGCGGGAGGGAGGGATGAGGGATGCAGGGCCGGGGGGATGAGGGATGCGGGAGGGATGAGGGATGCGGAGCCGGGGGGATGAGGGATGCGGGGCCGGGGGGATGCGGGAGCGGGCCGGAGGCCGGTAGGTGTCACTGTGCGGAGGGAATGAGAGCGGGCTGCGATAAGGGGGTACCGAGTGACAGACAGACCTCTCCGGGGGGGGTTCTTCCCCTGCTCCCCTCGAACTGTTTCCTCTATTTAAAAATTTAAAAGCGAGAAAGAGTAAGCGAAGCATTAGAACAGTGCTTAGACTCAATGTCCAATTGATCCAGGTGTTTTACCCCAGCTATCAGAAGCCTTTTTGCAGAGATTGGGAGCTATATTTACACAAGCTCAGTTTTCCCTAAGATACGCTGAGCAGCCTTTCCCATTTGGTGAGATTTGTGCTCTTACAGTGATGGGCCAGCACTGAAAATTTTACCCAAGGTGTCGGCTCCCTTAAAGCCAAGGAATTTCCAAGCAACATCACTTGGATTTTGGCTTAGGTTTTCCTAAACTGTGCTGCTCTGACCTGCCAGGTGCGAACTTCTTTTGGATCAAGATTTTCATTTTTGCAGAGAGAGAGATGGTCTCTGATGCGTTCGAGGCGGTGTGGGTCACTCAGCAGTGTACTGCCTGTCACAGCAGGACTTGGAGGGAGAACATCTCGTGGTGCACTTGGACCCTTCTCCCATAGCCAGAAATATGTTAAGAAGTAAACAAGTACCCACAATGAATGTGCACATGCTCGAGTCAGAGTTTTGTTTCCAGCTATTACACACTCTGGCCATACTAACCAAAACAGTCAATAATAGTGGTGGTATTATAGCCAGAGATCAGGGAGTAGCCTGCTTACAGCACCCTGGCTAAACAAGTTTTGTCTATCCATGTGGATGTCTTTCTGGCCTGTGTCTATTGATTACTTTCTGTAAAGGCTCATTTGCATAAGTTAGGGTCACACATATTTCAAAGAGTATCCCCAGGTGCCAGGCTAGCAAGTTAGTGCTTTCTTCATGCAAGAAATTCCAGTATTGTATGGCACTTAGCATCCCAGAGGACACAAAGGTATGGGATGGTCCGTCCTCTGAAATGAAAAGTCAAATTTGCAGCTGATGCCAGAAAAGAAATGGATCCAGAATTTTTAAAAGCTTAATCCACTTCAGATCATGTCTTGAAGGTTAATTAGCTGATGCCTTCAGATGAACCAATCTCTTCAGATCACAAGTCCTTAAAAACATTGGTTCTCTTCCAGTTCTCCTCGTTAACACAAATAAACTACACATGAATGTGTGAACACTTGCTGTCCCAGAGAGTGGTTTAAATTAAGCCCTCAGTTCTCTCCATGGGCAGGCAGTGTGGTTGTGAACATGATGCTGCTCATCCTTGAATTCTGGTGATACTCAAATGCCTGTCTGACAGCAGCACCTTGGCAAAAGGAGAAGTCACTTTTTTGCTTTGGTAAATCTCCACAACTAAGTGCAATTAGAGATTGTCACACCAAGCAGCAGAAGTGAATCACCCAATCCAGTGTTCTCCCTCTTGCTGTGATCTACGCAGGGTGATTCAAAGGAAATTGCACAGAAAGCCACAGAATAAATATGAAAACCTTTCTCTTTTAGGAGATTTTGGGGAGATGTGTAATGGGTGGCGATACCAGTCAGAGAAAGAAATGAATGTTACCATGAAATACCAACACTAGAATTTATAGTGATCCTGTTCTTCCCAAATATTTTAATAAAAAAAAAAATCTTTTTTTTTTTCCCTTAATAGTACTGATTTTCTATGTAAGACAGGGCCATCTGGCTATCTGCACTTCTTCACATGTGCTAGCTACATTGGAGATAAAAAGGTAAAATGGAGCACTGAGGAAAATTATGGGGCTTTCCAACACTCCCTCATGGACTTTGGGCTTATAAAATAGCAAATGAACTACAAAGAGACAAATGCAAAACTTTAATCTGTGAGATACCATCACGCTCATATCTGATAGGCAAAGCCAGAGTATGCTAATTTTAAAAAGCAAATTGAAACAAGAACAAGCTTGCCATATTGATTTATTTGTATTTAACATGTGCATATGTGCAGGTCAGAGCATGATAATTAACTTTAAAAAGCAGTTTGAACTTCACAGCTGGGCTAAGAGAAATGGTTAAAGTTTTACTTTAGGTGTTTTGTAATAGCATGCATTAGCTTCAAGCAAAACTCATGGAATGGAAATTACTTCTCCCAATTATGAGGTGGGGTTTCAGCATTTACTGGCATGAATCAGCCCTGTGAGTTAAATGAAAAGTATGCAAGACACTTGCTTTCCAGGCTGTGTATTTTACAGCCTAATGGGGGATGAGGACAAGTAAGTTGGACTGTGGTTTCAGCTGATTTTTAATCATTCCTCTATTATACAAAGTGTACAATGTCTTGTACAATTTCCTTCTGGTTCTGGTTTCTTGCATGTGAGATCTATAGCTAAGGGCAGTAATTCCAGGTCACATCACAAACGTGGGGACAGAGTCAGGCCCTCACTCGGCTTCGGAGCTGGAGCAGTTCTGACTCTTGGAGTGTGATCTGAGCAGGCAAATCCCCCTGGCCAAAACAAATAGAGCTGGTATTGTTCTATCTGTGCATGGTGTTTGCTTCTTAGCCAAACAAGGCATCTTAATGGACCCAGGCCTAGCTTTAGACTTAAACACGAGCTATAGCCAGGACTAAGAAAGACAAGAGTGGATTTGAATGTTTACTTAACATATGGGCTTGGCCTTTTTGTTTTGATTTGTTTTGTTTCCCCTCACTTAGATTTTAAGCTCCTGAAGAAGAGAACATATTGTAGGAGGCATTAGGACCAGAAAGAACGCAGGTTTAGAAGAAGGCAGGAAACTAAGAATGATAAAGAGGAGAAAAACAGGAACCTTCTGAGAGGCAGATGGATGGTTAAAGACAGCACAGTGGAATAGAATCAAAAAATTTCACTGGATAGCCAATATGAAGATCAACAGGCTTGATAATCAGATTCTGCTTTGAACACAAGCACAGATCAAGATGAGATCAAGTGCCAGCTATTATAAAGAAAAATGTAGTAAAGGCATAATAAATTGACCATCAGATGGAATTCATTCCTTCCTTAAAAATCAAAGGAATGCTGTATACGGTAAATGTCCAGATTCCAAGTGATGAAAGAAAATGCTATAACATCTATTTTCTCTGCCCTCATTTATGAGTATCAAATCACCTTAAAGAAATGCAGGGTCATGAGGTAATCCAATTAATTCATCATTTTTTTTCTTTCTTACAGTTGCAAGAACTAGGGAAAGTGTGAAACATGTCAGCACTTTGTTGTGGGAAAGCTATTAGGTGTTTGTTTTGAAGGTGCGCTCATATGAACAGCAATTTATATTGTTTTTCACAACTAATACTTCAAAGATTCAAGAGATAATAAGGACATGTGGTGTCCTGGTGACACCACAGTGTGATCAGAGATGGCATAAAGTCCTTGGACATAGTGTGCCCCTCATTTTCAATGGCCTTGTTTGGGTGGGTCAGTGTCAGACTGGCCACGAAGTGTGAAGGTTCTTCACCAAGGTCACAGCTTTATAAAACTGCTGGCATGTAACTAACAATGAGCTGTCAAACAGAATTAATCAGACTGCTTCTTAATGCTTAAGGTTCTGTGAAAGTCCATTTTCAGGAGATAATTTGTCTTTTCAGAGCTTAAGAAAAATTAGGTGCTTAGGATCAGGATTGGTGTAACCACGTAATGAAGTGCTATTACCTGGATGGGAACAGAGGAAAGCATTATGCTCTTAGCTTGATAAAAGTCCAGTTGTTTCATTAAATAGACCCTTCTCTGAGTGGCTTCCCTGGAAGTCAGTGAGCCAGCAGTTCATAGTAACTCTGCCCTTGAAGAGACTGTGACTCGGGCAAGGTCAGAATCAAATAAGTCCTTCTGTGCCTGTACACAAGATGTGAGCATGTTCCTGGTGTGCTACCAGGCCTTCATGCTTCCCCTTTTCAGTACGGCAGCCACATTATTGCTGTTTCTAGGAGAAAGACTGTGTTGTAGTCAGATTTTCCACTTTTTAGCCACTATGACTAAATGAGGTCAGTGATACAACCAGAGTCACTGTTCTTGCACAAAGATGTGTTTGAATTTTTAAGAAATCAAACAAGTCATCATTATTTCACAAGTTGATGAATAAGAATATGCATAAGGAAGTCTTGAATGAAAGAAAGGAAAGGGTTGTTGATGCACCAGGGATGGCTTCAGGCCAAGCAAGCTACAAATAGAAGAAAGCACAAATGCATAGAGGAGGCAACAATTTGTAACTTCCACTGTGCATTGGAAGTACTTGGAATGAAGGTCATATGATGCAAGGAGTCTATAAACACACAGGGAAATGAGGCAGCAGCAGTTATGGAACTTTTTATCCAAACAGAAGAATAGAGAGAGGAGGGGAGGGAAGGCAAGGGGTTACTGCTGGGGCAGTTACATAACCCTGCATGTCATGGCCATTTCCAGCATGTGCCACTCTACAGCCTTGTACTTGATCCACTGCTACATCTACAGGGCTCACAGCACTCAAGAGAGTCCTCTCACTCTATTGGAAGGAAGTTTTGGAAAGGTATCTTTTTGTCATTGATTCAGCTACTTTAGTGTTTGTAGAGCATTGTGTGAATTACTGGGTTGTTTTTTTTTTTTGTTTATTTTTTTTTTAAAGAAGTAAAAACATAAAAGAAGGCTTATGATTTTTTCCCCATTCACTGTAGGTTTGAAACACACTCCTACAAGCCTGATTATAGAAAACCAGCCACCCCAGTCTGGTCCCAGATAATATACCAGCAGAGTCCTATTTCCCTCCATCCTACATCTTCAGACTAATAATGACAGCATACCTTACAGTCTTCAATTTGTTTTGTCCTCTGTAAGCACAAACTAAGCTTTACTGATGGTATTTGCCATCTAGTTGCTGACTACATGTTGTTTGCATTCTGCAGGCTGTTCCTTTAGAAGAGGAGCAGAGGGGCTGTTCTGTGTATGCCTTGTCCTTCCCTGAGCATGTCCTCTTGGCCACTGTCCCATTTACCCTCCCTAAGGAACTTTTTGCCATGCAGAAGACATAAAATAACTTGTGTCTCCAGATGAAAGAAGATAAAAACTACTTAGAAAGTTTGTAATTTGAAGCATGCATGCCAGGCAGAGCATTGACTGAAGCAATCTCAATAATGCCTGCTGTCCCCTGGAGATGTCAAGGGTCTGTGCATATGGGACCAGAGAAGGCTGAGGAATGGAATCGGCTGCAGAGATATCTCCTCTCCTACATATTAAACCTGATCCTTTTGCCTCATGTTCCAGCTCTCAGTGGAGCTGGGGTTTTAAACCAGATCTCTCAAGTAACTCAGTATGACCATGCATCCATTTTCTTGAGGAAACCAAAGAAGCATTGGCTATTTTCATGTAAATCCAATGTACCCTTTAACTTCCCCAAACTGGAAAACACTGAGATGCTAGAGTTCAAGTCATAATTCTTTACCACAGCACTGAGGAATGCATTCTTGCTTCCAGCAAACTGATCCCCATTTTCAGACAGATGTGTTGTCTGCCATGAGGCAAGTTTTGTCTCTGGAATCAGCATGGTACACCTGGAGTTGTACTGATGTTATAGGTGCAATGCTGACATTTATGTCCTTTGTTATACAGATACCACTGCATGCTTCTAAGCTCCTAAAGAAGATAAAATTAAAGCTATGCTTTAGACTGTGTTCTGTGCTGTATTGACTGTGTGAAGTCTCAGGAAGTGTGGCCTTTGCTAAGGTAGAGACCTTTGTCCCAGGTGCCTCCAAATGCTCATGATTCCATGAGGACAGGAGCTCTGTTTTCCTTTTTCCACTGTCAGTGCAACAGATGTTTTGGGATTCTGTACAAATGCTTTTTGCAGTATATTAAGTTGTCATACTTCAGTCACCAAAACCCTTCTCGAAAGCTACCCCACGGTATTCATTAGAACGTGCTGCATGAAAAGTCTGAGCAAACTCTTGGCCTGGGTGGTAGAAGCCGATGAAGGGAACTTGTTCAGTGGAGTTTAAGGGAGTCTGCTGAGTTATTTTGTATGGTTTTTGGGCCTGGGGATATGGGTTAATTTAAAATAACATTAAATCATCAGCTTAAAATCAAATTTCATTAGTTAAAAAGTACTTAGAAGTAGTCATAGACTCGGACTTATGTATTTATTGGCTATTATGGATTGGAAATACACTTTATTGCTATTATTTTATTAGTTGCCTACTCCAAGTTAGCACAGGATTAGGAGCACTTGATGCATGCAAAATACAGCATCACTTCTCACAATATGAATCAAGCCTCTGACTTTGCTATCCTACTGAAAAGTTTCTATTGCTCTAAATTGAGTCTTGGCTTTTTATTGAGAGAACTACAGTTGAAAGTGAGCCTATGCTTCTTTTTTTTTTTTTTTTAGCAACATAAACATTCCACTAAATATTCATAATATTCATCTTTTTTATATGACTGTCTCCAGAACATCTGTTAATTGCATCTTTATTTGAATCTATTAGCAGTAGTTTGTTTTAAGCCAAAAAGACTAAAAAATAATTAAAATAAATAGTCTGGATGACAGCCAGTACACAGTATCTTCTCCAAAGTTACACCTTTTTAACTGAAATTCAATTTATTTATTGTCCATTATTCAAAGTCAATTAGGAGTAAAAAAAGACAATACACTGTATTGATACAAAATATTTATTAAAAACTTTATTTTTTGCCATTTTGCAACTGCTAACATTTAAAAAACTTACTTGTACTACTTCAAATTTTTCTTAATGTATTTCCAAAGTATTGTGAAATTGGAGATAAACATTTTCAGTAATACTTCAATGCACTCTTGCCTTGCAGTTAACTTATATTACAAACACCTCCAGAAATCAGTTAAATCCTTTATTGTCAATATCAATAAATATATGTAGAAAACATGTTTTATCTTTTCTTTATGTACATTCAATTTAATTTACCACTCATCAAAGAACACAAAATATTTTAAAAATCAGTTCCTTATTCTAATTGTTTAGAAACTGTTTTTAAGACAGGTTTTTCCTCTCAAATATTAGAGAAGTGAAGGAAGTATAAAGAAGGAAAAAGTTAGTGTAACACCTTAAGACTGTAGTGTCATGTGCAGCATAATTTTCTTTATTTTTTTTTTCTGGGAAGTGTTCAGGTTTTGTTTTGGTTTGGGGTTTTTTTTATTTCTTTGTTTGGGTTTTTTGATTTTGTTTGCTTATTTGTCTGTTTGTTTTTTCTGGACATCAATTTATCCTGTAAATGATTTTAGAACAAATAAATTTTTAGAAATCTCTAAATTTTGCCATAAGAGGGCATTATTCATGCACTTAGACTAGTAAATGCATCTCAAATATACACACTTGCATTATAGGAAATGGTAATTACCTGCACTCATGAACCAATGAAGTAAAAAATATTAATACTTCTGTAATTAGGAATACCTTAATAAAGTTACTGGGACAGGGCTGGTTCACTGCCCTGTATTCTTTTCCTAGATAGTCTGAAGATGCAAGAGGAGACCAAAGAAGAGGCAAAGTACTGCTTTTGCAGCCTGGAAATTACCACATAAGACAACAAAGCCAAAAGTTGGTGTTTTGACTTATGGACACAATTCAGGAAGTATGCCAGGGCAGGTTTAGCATTAAGAACTTGTTCATGCCCTCCAAGAAAATGGAAGTTAAAGAGTTAGAACATGTGTAAGACAAAGGACATGAATCCTTAAGGTCCTGCTTGAGTAAAAATAAATAAAAATGGAAAAATACTTAATGCTGAGACTCTAACATTTTTTGTGAATGATGTAAATTGTGAGAATTGGAGGAACACAGAGATGTGCCATATCAAAATAAGGATCTGAGAAATGTTTGGGATGGAAAACAATTGTCTTTTCTCCACTCCCCACCAAAAAATTCAGAGTAGAAGTTGGATCCCAAAATATAATGTAATGGCTTCTGCTAATGTTGCTAAATGTTGCATTGTTTCCCAGAAAAATAGAAAGTCATCATTCTGGTATCAGAAAAAGAAACCAAAAAACAACCAATGAAACAAAAAAACCTCCACCACCAACAGAAAAACCCTGCTAAGGGGAGCTTTCAGAGCCCTGAAAGACTGTTATCATGCAAGGTGCATTTGTGCTCTTGAGCAGAGATGGACTTGGGTGTGCACACACTGGGTGTCTTGTGCAGGGATTGTCAGCATCTCACCCTGTGCCTCTTCTCTCAGGCATTCAAAATGTCTCTAGATAAGGATTTTCTTGTGTCATCCTCATCCACACCAATCACCAATTGATCCTTTCAATTCTGAGTCTCTCAGAACATATTTTTCTTATTTAATATTATTTAGCATCTACTGAGGATGTATTTCATTGTCCCATTTCCTGGAATAATGTACCATATATCAAATGATCACTCCTTTAAATCCCTTTCACTGACAGCTATAAGAAAAAACAATATGACAAGCAGAATAAAATTTGCTTTCAGGTATGTTTTGAGTATTCTTCTTGTCAATTTTTTATTTTTATTTTTTTTTCCTTTGGCATGTACCAGAAATATGCAGAGATCCAGTAGTAATCTGTTATTTGCAGAAACTGGTAATTGAAATGTAGAACTGAATTTGGTCATTTTGTCATCTGTGCAGTTTTATGAAGAACTATTAATTAATATCAAAAGAATCCTGTAGGGGGATGATTTATGTGCATTGAATTTCAATCCACTTCATTACTGCATGGACATTACATAAGAGTTGAAAAGCCAGAACTGCATTTGGCACAAAAAATATTATTCTGGTGAAGCCAGTAAGTTCACTGAGCTATGAATTTACAAATAATTTGTGTTACCACCTGCAGATCTTTTTAAGAGCTGGGTACACTCCCCAAGGCAATAGTACCTCAGTATCAATAAAGGAATCCCTGCTGTAAGAGATTGAAATAATATCAATTAAATTCTGCATCTGCAGCCTCAGATTTTTAAACTTCTTTCTCTCTTCTGCTTTAGGGAAAATGACAGGAGTTTTTTTTAAAATTCACCAGATAAAAAATACTTGGAATGATGGACTACGGCCCAGATAAATTCCAGCATTTGAGCTGGTGTCTTTGTTTGGAACAGGTTGAGATCATATGGCTCCATGACTGGCTGATTTTGGGAGTGCTGTCCTTGCTCCACTTGTGGAATAACTTCTGGAGCTGCTTGTGTGGATTTGCATACATGCCTGAACAAAATTGTAAGATTTTTATCTGTCATACATACCAGCAGCTTCTCCTCCAAAATTCTTCCTGTAATTTTTTTTGGTTTTTTTTGCAATCTTTGTTGATACTGCTGTAATTCTGATCGTTGCCTACATACTTGAAGATCAAAAGCAATAAATGGCAAATGGAACTCAGCTGGAGATGGGTGTCCACTTATATTTTTAGCTGCTCAGGAGCAGGGAGCCTTCTCACATGTAATCTGCTTTATAATGCTATCAGGTTTAGATTATATTTTAATGGTCATAATTGTAATAAAATGGCAGTGTGCCTCTTCTATAGTTTTAATTCTCTTTCAGAAATGTTGTGCATCCTGGGAACACACATTAGCTACAGGTTTCAGGGTGTTTCAGTATTTTTCCAATCTACATTTCAAGGTTTTTTTCCTAGTACCTTTAAACTCAAAACTGCTTTATGTTATTTTAGGAATTTTATTGCAATTGCTTTTGAAACAGGCAGTTTAATGTATGAAAGAGCTGTTACTACTTTCTTAGAAGAAAATATTTGTTATCACTTCAAGAGTCACTGTCTTCCATAGGCCAGCAGATATACTTTCCTTCAGTCTCTTCAGTGTGATTGATCCAAGGGAAAGCTGCAGACTTCTACAGGCTTCAGACTTGTACCCAGGTGTCCCATTCTCCTGTTTCTACCTGCTTGATGGAATAGTTTTATTCACTCTGGGTCTGCTAAAAAACAAAATGAGACTATAAGGAAGTATTCACTATTCAGTGTTGCGGTACTAAAAGCAAACAAACAAACATTTCCCCAAACCATTTGGGGGGAAAAATCATTTCCACACCCTGGCAAAAACCTGATACAAATGTACAACTCTTAAGTTTCTTCTTTGATCTTGATGGTTAATTCCTGTGGGTCACAACTTCACCTCCTTTCCTGTGTGCCTAGGCTTTACTTCCCACAGAAAAGTAGACGTAGCAAAAGTGAGAAAATTCCTCGCTGTGTTTTTTCTCCATCTTCTCTATTTGAACGGGAAACTTTACAAAAAGGCTCTGTCTCTCAATGCCTTTTTCACCTAATGTTTTATAGCCTTTAGGTGGTTTTTTAAAGCTAATCCATTATGACTCAAGGAAAACTGAAGAACTTTTAATAAGCCATCAGCAACATCCAGTAACACCAGAGCATACCTGTGTTTTTGATGTTATACAAATCTACTGAGTCAGAGACAGTGTCACTCATTTTCTGTATTGGTGTGTGACATCTTTTCAAATCCAGAGAAGGCATGAAGTTAGAAATCTGGCATAACTTGGAAGGGGTCACTGCAGAAAAAAAAAAAAAAAGAATATTTATCAAGAGTGTTTTCTATCATATATTAAACTCTGCAAGCTTTCAAAGAACAATTCTGATACGCAAAAATCCCCAAATCTTTTAAAGTGCAAATAGATATTTGTGAGCCATCTCAAACAGCCACAGGACTCATTCATGCTTATCTTCATCTTTGGGTAATGACTGGTTAAAATATTTTTGAATAATGAAGGCATTGTCAAAAAATCAAGTCTATTCACAAAAGATGCTTGAGAGGAAAATGATGCTCAAGTTGTTGAATACATTTTTCATTCTGAATAGTTTGTCAGGGTATTTGCATCTTAGGGAGAATGTTGATTTCCAAGGTAGTTTTAAAATACGTGTCACTTTGTAAATATTTAAAGATGCTAATTTTATACTCTTATCTTAGAAACTAATTTTGGACAGAAATCTTTTAAAGCATCTTTGTTAACGAGGAGGTATTTTGAAATCTCTGCTGATTACTTCACACCTTGTTTGGTGGTTTACACAGGTGCAGGGTGATGTAATTCGCAATCAAAAGAGAACGATTTAACTTTTAAGGAGTTTTTATGTTCCCTTTACACAATTGTAATACATGAGAAATGTGATTTCCATAAATGGAGTTAGTAATTTTTATGGCACATAAACAGAGAATTTGTATACAGATCATCTGCTTTCAGTGAGCAGCTCCCCCCTTCCACACCCAGTCTAAACTAAAGCGATCTCTATATGGGATGTTTTAGTATGAGGGAATCAAACAAATTTGTTGTTTTGGTTTTTTTTTTAATCACTTAGATTTCCTTTAGGGCTCATATCATCTTAGCTGTTATTAGTAAAAGAATAAAATGTAAATAATGTAATAAATAAATATAAGCATTGAAGAGAATTCAGAGTAAAAGTTCACTTTCTGTAAAAAATCACAAGCATAGTATCTGGTTATCATCATAAGTTCCAGAGAACTAGAATTAAAGTATGTTTTATTGGCATTTGCAGATCTAAAAAGCACTTCAAGATCAAATGACCAATAAAGCTTTCATTTTTTAATCTCTAATCAAAAGAATTTAAATTCCTTTGGTATTTAAAATGTACAGAGAATCCCTGACACTAAAACATTCAATTATTTCAATATTGTTTCATGGCCCTTTTCTTTAAAGTCAACATTTTCTTTAGAAATTTCTCTCTGAGGGTGAAAAAGAAAAGCTATCAAAGCTATCAAAGCTGTTGTTCTACATTAGTAAACTTGTACTGTATAGGAAACAGCTGAAAGTGTTTTTTCTGTCTTCATGTCTGCCTAAGTTGTAGGTTTTATCGGAGCATCATGTAAAAATTTGGCTATCTGTTGGGGATAGTTTAAATTAAGAAATTATACTATATATTATATCATTGTGTCATAGCATATTATAACATATCATACATAATATAATCCATCATAACGGAGTGCATGGGTTTCTTTGTAAATTGCATTCATGTCAGCACAATACTACTCACCTGCAGTCACTGGAATTCTCTAGTTGACAACTTTTGTCACATAAAAAGTGAATTTAACTAAATTGCAGAATGGCAACGTGATTTAGGCTTGCAAGGATTTAATCTCATTCAATCCCCTTTAAATGCAGGACTGACTCTGGAGTTAAACCCAGTCTCAGTGTAGGATCACATTGCTCCTTATCCCATCAGCTCCTGAAAATCTCCAAGGGCTGATGTGCAGGCACCTGAGCAGCCTGCTTGGAGAGGTGCCCATAAACATCCTTGTAGCAAAGATTTTTTCCTCTTGTCTGAACTGGAGTTTCCTTATTGCAGTTTTGATCCATCCTTTCTTTGATCACCCCTTGTCCTTCCACTGCGCTCCAGGAAGAATAATCTGCCTGTTTTTGTGACTCCCTTTTATGCAGTCAAGCCTGTTATTTGATCCCATTTGTCTGTCCTGCTTTCTAGTCCTGTTTGCTCTTCCTTGCCTCTTAGCCAGGATTTAGGTGTCAAACTTTGATCCATTCCCATCACGGCTAGTGCCCGTGGAGCAAAGCTTGGAAGTGGGGCAGGGGAAATCAAGATTTTCATATACAAACAACAATGGAGAATTTCTGAATCCAAGACTAAGTGGGCATGGAGCAGGAGAGAAAGAGCCAGCAGAGCTGCCCAATTTGTGCACAAAAAGGCAACTGCAGCAGGTAGTTAAACTTTCTGAGAGTCATTTTTAAATAAATATATGCTTGAGTTTATAATTGAGGGCTTCTGTTCACAGCACAAGAGTATGTATGAATAGTCCATGAATGAATAGCTCACTGGCAATCTGGCCAAATTTGTGTAAGGGAAGTGAACTGATGAATATGTACCATATGTTTAGATTGTGTAAGTGGATGCAACCCTCAGCGACTTCAGAGAAGCTGTCCTTGTTTACACCAGCTAGGAGCTAGCCTTGTGCATATAATTTTCAGCTGAATAAATGCAGATGTTAGCTTTACACAAAATTTACAGTTTCAGGTTACCTTTGTTAAACAAGGAAACTAGCCCACAAGTTTGGATTTGGCAGCACTGCACTGCACTGCTGCCTGAGAAGAGACATAGGTTTGGAACTAAATGTGGCATTTTTTGAGCCTTTGGAAAAAAACAAATGTTCATATGTCCTACTGTACAAGAACTCTTCCAAGGCAGAGAAAATAATGAAAAAGAAATGAAAAGGAGGCTATATGGAACCTGAAATGGGGAAATATGGCAGGATTATATGTGTATCTGAAGCTTCACAAATTGCATGTCTCCCTTAGTCCAAAATACTCATGATTAACTGCATCACCTACAGCACTGGCATCCTAAGGATGCTCCAGTTTACCAAGGGCCAGTTGAATTTTCTTCAAGTCTTTGTTCAATTTATTTATGCCCATTGCAGAAAATTTGGGCCTTCCTGCAGATAATGCCATCATCTAATGACAGATGCCCTAATAAAATATTGACTTGTGATTAATAACTCCAGAAATCTTCCTGAAGTCAGTGTGAGAGCTCACAAAATTTAAATGCTTCCCAGAGCAGAAAAGAGTTGTTAAGGACCAGACCTTTAGTTATTTAACTGCACTAGCAAGATTATAAAGCCCTTGAAGGCATGTAAATTAGACATGAAAAATATACTTACCATGATTTATTTTATTTCATTGCAAGAATACATAGTGTTTTAAAGCTGGCTGACTTTTGCAGCAGTGTTTGCAAACAGATCTGGGATAAACAGCAAATGAACAATTCTGCTGACAGCAATATAACCAGGCAAATGTCTTTTGGTGTAAACCATCACAGGCAAAATTTGCTGCTGCTACATGTGCCAGCTTGAATCACTGATGGACCAGGCTCATTGTAACTTCATAAAAAAAGTAGGTAAAGTTGCAGCCTGTGTAGTTATTATCATGTATATGTTGATCAGTATAGTATCATTGCTTGAAGATTGTATGACTCGTTCTCTGATGTTTATCATTGTTTATCATTGATATTTGTAAATGCAATCAACTCAACTGTAAAAAGAATCAAAAATTTAGTTTTGTTTCAGCATGTTGTAAAATTGTAGTCCTGGTGTTAGGGCTCTGCACATAGTGATTAAATAAAAATCCCAAGGCCTGTGTCCTATAGGACGTTAGAATAGCTTGGCAGGGTGAATCCTTCAGGCCTTTTGTTCTATGATCATACTGATTTAAAAGTTGTTTTGGAAAAAAATAATTATTCCTCAATGCAAGAGACCTTTCCACTGACATTTTATGTGTCAGGGGAAAAAAACCATCTCTCTTCAACAGGCAACTGCTTTTCTGCAATCTTGTGTGCTTCTCTCCCCACTTTCTCTTTGTTTACTGTGAGGTTTGCTCGATCATTTACACACTGACATAAATTTAATAGGCTGACAAGATTCACTAATGAAGATAAAGACATTCAGATCTGCAAAGCTCGCTATAGTTTTTCTCTCTCTACTTTTCCTGCTAATAGGAGTTCGTTTCCAGCCTGAGTTACAGGGTTAGAAACAGCTCTGAATGCCAAGCAGGAACATGCTGTATCCATTTGTGCTTTTAAATAATTGCACTCTGTCTTTGACTTTGGTTGCCTTGATGGTAACTTCCTGTGCTGGTAGCTAGTACACCATACCTTTTCTATAAATCTCTCTCTTTGATCTTCTCTTTAAACTACACCTTATTCTGGTTTTCCAGCTAAAATTAGTTATCCAACTGGCATTCCTGCTCTTTCTTACAGTACTTTAGAAGAGTTCACCCTCAATTTAAATGCTGATTTTAATAAGCCAATGTAAATTGCTCTATGCAGCTATTTTATTTTTACAGTACTCTGAACTTCTTCCTCCTTTGGAAAAAAAGTCTACATTTTCCCTGTTCATATTTCATTTTTTCAGGACTATATTCTCAGCCCTGAATAAAAGTCTTTACACTATGGACTATAATAATTTCACTATTAGCTGTAAAAGTAGAAAGTATGTCACTGATCTCTTTCTAAGTGATCAGTATCCATCCTCAGTTTCTTTTAAACCAAAGTGAATCAATAGAACTTAACAAGGACTGATAATATTGCACACTCTTTACATGGGAACAGTAATTCTTGCCAAAAGTTCTATTTGGCACTTTGGAGGAGCTTTATCAAAAAAGAACTAAAAACAGGACAGTGAAATATTCAGGTAGTGCAGGAATTATCTCCATTCTCCCTTACAGCAAGAGCAAGTGTCTATTCTTGCACCTCTATTCTAATTCATATAAGAAAGGAAAAGACCAATGTCTCTGAGAAATGACATAAATGCATGCCTTCATTGCCTAGGAAAAAAAATATATGAGCACAAAATGGGAGATTCTGGAACTGTGGTTATAGTTTGGTTCAACGGAGTTCTGAATACAGGTATAGAAAGTTTCTGTAAAAAGTACATATTTCAACTAAAAAAACCTTCAGTATTTGCAGCACATAGGATCCCAGTGACAAGCAGCACAATCCTGCAACACCCATGAAATTAGTTACATCAAGACATCCCCTGCCTTGTTAATGTGGAAGCTTTTTGATTGAGTTCCTAAGCCTCTCTCCCAGTTTTTGGCTGAGCTTTTGTTTCAGCAGACAATTCAGTACATTCCAGAATTTCAAACTGCTGAGAGTGCTGTTGCTTTCCTCACATGTCTTGAGGCAAAGAGGTAGAAGTCAGCTCTTGGTACATAAATGTACAAATGTATCATAGAATAATATCCTTTACCAGACATTATTTATAGGGAAGTCTAATGCTACCTTATCCTCTTCTTAGGGCCACACCTGAATGTAGCCAGGTATGAGTGGTCCAGCACCTGAGCTGCTGTAGGTGATGACTCCTTTGTCAGCTGAATATCTCTGTTCCATCTCTGAAACACGACACATAAATTTACCAATGAAATCTCTATTATGAAGTCTTAGAGTTTTTATTAGGAGGGCTTAACATATTGTGACTTTTAGTAGTCTCACAATTTTAAAATACACTGAACTGCTTCTATAATTTTTTTCACTGATATAAAAGTTCTATGAAAATAAGAGCTCACAGTCTGTCAGTGATCAAGAAGGTAAATAAAATATGAAGAATTTTTAGGAAAATAAATAAAAAAACCAAAAAAACCCATGATTAAGGTAGTGCATGATTACTTGCTTCATAATGTGTTTACCTTGGTATCACAAAAAAAGGGAGCAAGGGGTAATAAGATTGAAGATGTAAAGCAGCTTTCACAAAAGCAACAACTGAGCAGGTTGGAGCTCCTCATCCTACAGAAGAGAAAGTTTATGAGTATGATAAAGATCAGCAAAATAATTAGCACCATAGAGAAGGTAGATATGGATCTATTTGTGTTTTTTTCCAGTGCATGCTCCATCAGATGGTCCTCATCTATTACCATCTCAGAGTAGAGAACTTCAAAACAAACAAAGAGCAGCGATTTTTCATGCAACAGGTTTTACGACTGTGTAGATCTTTGCCAAAAGATGCTTTGTTTGCAAAACATTTATATGGATTAACAGATAGATTGAAGGAGCACTTATAAATAAATCTGAAAGTAGATTGAGGCAAACAAAATATTATGGGTGAAATATCACAGCAGCTTGGTCTGATTCTCTTTTTCCTGATATTTCCACAGGAGGATATTTCTGAAGACATTACCGGGCTAGATGGACCCTAGAGCAGTGTGGCTGATTTTATATGTGAAGAAAACTATCACAAAAATATGTCTTAGAAGTACATCTCTGTTGTGATGCTGCCATGATGATGCTGCCATGAAAGAATATGGATTTCCTAGTTATCTGGAATTTAGAGAAAAAGAGGAAGTGTAAAGTGGGGATAATATCTTGTGTCTTGACATGTGACCAGAAAGTTTTCCATATGGAAAGGGATTACTTTTCTTGCATTTCATTTTTTTATCTTAAGAGGACTGATTTAGTTATAGAAGCCAAGCATGTCATGCCTGGAGAGGTTGACTCATAGAGCAAGCAGACATATGGAAGCTCTGAAAATGAGGATTAGTAAGTAAGTCTTCTTCAAACTTAGTAATTAAATTGATCTTACTCTCTTCTGATAGTTTGGTGATGATCCATAAAGCTGAATGAGACACAAAGTTGATCATGTGCTATTATTAAGTACCCTATAATTTATTTAAGGTCTGATCTTGAGAAGTGAAAACATTTCTGCAACATCTGAAGACTTGCAAAATTGCAGGGCTTAGCACTTAGCCAAACTGGTGATTAGCAAGAGCAGAGAAATTAGCCCTATGGTACTGGGCACATTCCAGCTAATTGAAAGTACTGTGTAGAGTGGTGCCTACATTTTCCCTCTGGTTTTGTATGGATAGAATATTTTTTAAATCTCCTCTCAGAAAAATAGTGTGCTAAGTTAGAAAAATTCATGTTTCATGCTCTGTATGTGGCTGTATTCCAACACAACAGAAATCCTGAGAATGATAACACAACTACAGAACTGAGATCTCCTAGATAACTATCAAGTGTAATGCACTGACTTTGTATAAAGGATCAAAACATACAGTGATTTTTTCTCATATATCTAATGTATATACAGATAAACAGGTTCCACTGAATGGCTTAAAATCATAGGCTGTGACAATAAACATTGCATATTTTGAGTATGAAAGAATAGGACTTCTTTTCATACAGCTCATAAGCTGTATGAGCTTTGGCATGGGAATGTCAGAACAAAGATCTATTATGAAGAAGTAGGAATCCTCACATCAAAATATAGGTCATTTATTGAACTTTCCCATAATTGTATGGGAAAAGGAATTAAATCACTTCCCCTGCCATGTTGTGGCAGATGTTTTTCTACATGCTCATAAGAGGATGTGTGAGATTTGCAGATGAGGGGTTCTATCTCCCGTATTGGCAGATCTGAGTACCTTGACTGGAGACAGTACAGTCAGCAAGTTTAGTGTGATGATGTCAGTTTACTCCTTATGAAGCCTGGGTATGATTTTTAGAGCCTTTAGAGCCTGTTGGGACTGTGGAAACAGATATATTTCACATAACGTCTGAATATTTAAAAAAAATTTGGATAAAACACTGCCATGATATAATAAAACATTAGGAGATGGCCACAGTTATTAAAAAAATGTGCCCTTTTGTACAAGCCTCCTCTGGAACCTTGTGACTACCAAAATAAGATCTAAGATCTCAGGCTAAAATTTCTTAGCAAGCCCAGGTGCAGGTCTAATAATTGCATCAGAGACAGAGAGATGTATGTGGATTTCTGATGGTGCAGGGGAAGGGGATCTGTCCCATGGCTGTGAGAGCAGACCAGCAGCTTTCGCCCGCCTGACTCAGCACAGGTTTCCATGGAAGTCCGGGCTCCAGTGCTGGGAATGCTGGGGTGAACAAAAGGAGTAGTTTTACAATATCCCCTTATGCCCCTGCTGTGTCTAACTCTTGCATTTCTCACTTTTGTGTGTTGGCAGCAAGCACTGATATAGGTTTGAACCTTCAAGTTGGAATTTTTCTATTAACAAAGACAGTTCTCTGTACCAGGCAGCTCTTAGGGGGAAAAATTATAGTTCTACATATTCAATTCCTATCTGTCTGGTTGTGGTGAAAAAAAAAATTCAAGATGTTTTATCATACACCTCTATGCTTGACCATGTGAATTCTTTGAAATTTTTGTCAGCAAGGTGTTTGTCAATTGCTAAGTTCCTGTTTTATCTTGCTAAGGATTTAATTTTCACTGAGTCCCACTTCTATTCCAGAAATATATTATTAACTATGCTAAAACCTGGATGGAACCTGTGCTTATTTCCACTTTCTAGAGAACAAAACTTTATCTCTTGATACTATTCTTCTGCAGCATTTTATGGTTCTGAGCATTGTTTGAATGCATTGTGTTGATATGAATAAACCAATATATTACTTGACATTCCTAGAATCATGTATTCATAAAATGGTTGGGTTTGAAAGGACCATGAAGACCTAGTTCCAAACCTCTGCAATGAGCAGGGGCAGCTGCCACTAGACCAGTCTGCTTAAAGTCCCATCCAACCTGGCATATGAGGCGTCCACAACTTCTCTGGGCAACCTGCTCAAGTGTCTTTGCACTCTCACAGTGAAGAATTTCTTCCTCAGATCTAATTTGAACCTACTGTCTTGCAGGTTGAAGCCATTCCCCCTTGTCCTGTCACCACATGCCCTTGTAAAAAGTCCCTTTGGACACTGGAAGATGCTCCAAGATCTCCCTGGGGTCTTCTCCAGGCTGAACAAGCCCAATTCTCTCAGCCTGTCTTCATGGAAGTGGTGGCCCCATAGTTACCTTTCATTTGAATCAGATTTTTGTGTTCCTATCTATTTGAGATAATAATTTCAGTTTGGTTTGGGTTCCTTTTTGTTTTCCAGAGGAGTGATTTACATTTCTATCTTTTCATAAATAAGATGCTTTTTAATATTATTTGGCATGTAATTGTCATTATCCTCAGTAACATTGCACAGCTGTATCTGAGGATGTGTTTTGAAGGTAATGGGATTGTGCAGGTGTAAGCAAAGGAAAATCATAATGTAACAGAAATAGAGATATTTCTGTTGAATATTATTCTGCTGAATATTTATGGATACGCTGAAGAGCACAGATAAAACATGCAGGGCATTACCTAAGACTGGGGACAGGAGCAGGAGAAGTAGCTGGGATGTTTGTTTGGCATCAATACAACCTTTGTAAGTTAATATAAAATAGAATTTCAAAGTAAAAATAGTAATTAAAAACAGTCTGAATATCTGAAGCATTGGTGTCTACTCAGATTAAAAGAGTATAGATTGTTACATCTGCAACATATTGTAAATTGCTTGCTCCCTGTGCTTTTGACAGCAAATTTTTTTGTAGTCAAGAATTCAGTTTCCAATATAAAGGGGTGAAGTTTTTGAACTCTCTTAGCTAATAGACCTATTGTTTGTATAAATGTTGATGGGATTGTGTCTCCTCCTTTCCTAGTAAAATAATTGCATTTCTTTAAAAGCCACACAGAACTTCAAAAACTCACACACCAAACAAAATGTAAATGGTTGTGTGACCCTGTTAACCCACTTAAGCTGGCATCCAGATCTCTTTATGCTTCAGGGTTTTTTTTTCCCTTTGCAACAGTTGTTACATCTTGGGTCAAGCCAGTTGTTCAATGTCCAAATAAAGAGGAAGCCTGATTTCATGGCATGAGTCACTGATCTTATGATGCAAGTGGAGTGCTTTTATTTGGGGCTGGGAATTTTGAAGGGTAAATGACTGAGCCCAGCATCAAACAGTGTACCCAGTGAATGTGTGGGAGCCTGGCCATGACACAAATAGGAAAAACCTATTTTGTCACCTAGAAGTGACATCTGTGTTGATATTTACCACTCATAACAGAAAAAAAGACTGTGCTAATTTTCTAATAATAATTAGGGTCACAATAAGTTTCTGTTGAACTTTGTCATGTTAGCTAAGTTTAATGAATCCTAAACAAATCTGTAAAAGTATTGCAAGTGCTTCAATGGTTTTGTATTTCCATTTTGTATTTTATTTGCTTTTGGGGATATAATACATATTTTGTTTTTCTAAAACACAGATGTGAAATTCTTTGAGTCACTACCAACTCTTAAAATGGTAATGTTTTATTTTTCATATTTCTGATTTTTTCTTTTTCCTGGATGAAATAGAAACTGTGGTGAGAACTATAATCACTTGTTGTCTACTATCTTGTGGTTTTTGATTGACGAGTTAGCTGAGAGATTTTCAGATGCTGTGTAGACACGCAGAGCTACTACCCAAGCACTTGATGGGATTTTCAGAAGTTTCTGACTTATCCTGATTTCACAGAGAGATAGGACCATCCTGCTAAGCCTG